GAGTTTAAGATATTTAATTGATAAAGAAAACTCTTTATTTTCGTTTCACTGTAGCAATATCAGATTCTGATATATGTTGATATATTGTTGACTGTGGAAGAGTTCCTTGCAGTATTTTATATAATTTTGTTGATGAGTATTGCCCAAAAATTTTACTGAAGTAAATGGCAGTTGTGAAAAATGAAAAAAAACTGTCATGGTGATGTAGTTAATTGTCCATATTTTGCACCAAACTATTTGGTTTGTTGTTTCAATTTTTACTTATACATCATTGCATTGAATAACTGGGCAATTAAGACTATGAATCTTCAGGAATTAGACAATAAACAATACACAAATTACCTGCTTCTATAGTCTTTCCACTGGATGCTTTTGAAAGGATTGTGTGCTCTCATAAGATTACTCCCATGATAACACAGGTTTAGGTGTTACTAATTCTTCCCTTAATTATATACTTTTTTATATTGTTTTGTAATAACCTGAAACAAAGGAAAATATTCTTTTGGATCTAATCCTTGAGAAGAAATGGAAGGTAAGATTATACTTTGCATTTTAAGCATTCATGCACTAAACTGTACATTGTGTCTTATCCCTGCATCTTATACTCTTTCTTGTAGCACAAATTCATGTGATCAAAGAAGAATTTGGAAGACTATTGTATCTTGCAAATGAACTGTATTTCAGCCTTTTAGATTGGCATTGTAATGTAGCGAGGCAGTGTAGTTATTGATTGTTTGAGGGAAAGTACTAGTTTTTACCTTGAAGGAAACTATATCTGTCATTGCTTTCAGAAGTGATAAAGGCTTGATACTGTAGAGCAGAAAGAATGTTCATGCAGTATTTTGCAGTATTTTACCCATTTACAGTAACATTTGGCAAAGAATGAAAAAGCTTGAGAATTGTACAAATGGAAATGGTTAACACTGCATCATGAATTTAGTCATATATGCATGTCTAAATATATTGATTATGAAGCAATAGCAAGACTCGATGTGGAGAAAATGTGTTTTTAATCACATTTACACATGTACACATATACAGGTTTAGATATATCAGTTCCTTGATCATCTGATTAAATTTTGTAGAAATGTTCATCATAAGTAAGTCCTGGTTATAGGTGATTTATGATTACAACAGAAAATATAATGGAAGGCTTGCCATAAATATACTCCCTACAGGTGGCAAACCATCTCTTGAATTTTTTATTGTTATATGGCAGAAAAGTTGAGGAACATTTTTCATGTAAATGGATATAAAAAACAAAGAGTTAGATTATTATTATTATATTTTTGACTTGATGATTGAAATATTTTCTATATTGGAATTAAGTAGAAGTTATTGATGTTACCATTTTATATTTTTAAAATCATACTTACATATGATGAATATTAAAGAACTGGCTTAGAGATATAAGAAAATGGAATTCAAGTCAGATTGGGTAATATCATGTAGTATACATAAAAAAAAAGAAAAAAAGAAAATGTTTACCCACAGTTCAACCACATTGTCTTGCCATTGCTCAAAGTACCTAATTTGGTTAAAGTGCAAGGTTTTCATTTCTCTACTTTCATTTCTCAGGAGAATTGCAAGATATTCATATACAAGTTAGGCACCAAAACTTCCAATCTCCACGTAAGCCGGAATTGCATGCCCCGAATGGCGCCTTTCTGCTTCCTTCCTAGCCAGCACACTGAAGATAATCACACTGATATCCATTTGGAAATATAAAAAAAGAAAAGAATTTGTTTTTTTTCTTTTTTTTATGTATATAAGTCAAGACCGTTTTAGACTGAGGGTTGAATTCCCTAGTGTGATGTGCAATGATGAAATGAGATGAGTTTGTAATCACTAACAGGTGAATACTGTCATCACTCATACGGAGCTTGGTCTGATACAGTGATAAACAACTTTAGGACGAAGAGTTGATGATTTCATGAAATTTTATTTGAAGTTAGATTCTGAAGGGGACTCTTTCTGAAAATTTATTGCAAAATCTGTAGTACATGAAAGGACAGATTTATATTCAAGAAATGAACACTTTAGGAAATCAAGCAATTTTATGTATGTACTTTTTTCCATTTAATACTCAAGGAGAAGCACAAGTCGCTGCAGGAGGCAAGCTCTGATATCTAACTCATTATAACAGTTCAGAGTGTTAAAGAAATGTGATATCTTTACTAAATTCATAGTATCTTTAATAATATAGAAAGACTAAATACAAAAGTGTCTGGCTTGCAGGGAGAATTAAGGTTCCATTTACCATTGAAGTTGATGGGTAGCTAAAGAACATATTAGCTTTGATATTTGACTAAATACTTAATAATATATATAAAGAAACAAATAAGAAATCAACTCTTATGATATGATAATAAGAAAATATTTAAATAAAAATAACTCATCTTTCTAAGATGAATACTTGTGATTTAAGAAATGGGAGATTTTCCCCTTTTATGTTTTGAAATATTTTCCTTAAAATTACTCTGAAATTAACATTTAAGCATTGTCTTGCTCCTGAAGTGGCTATGAATGAGATAATATACTTGTTCATGAAATCAGAGATTTTGCATGTATTTTGGAAGCTGTGCCTTGAATGCATGTGGTTATTGTTTGCCTTTAAATACATCATATTTGGTCTGACTTAAATATGCATGTGACACCCTCTAATCAGTTACATTGAGTAAACCAGTGATAGACAGACACATATAATGTTAAATTAAAATCTGCCCACCCATACTATTCAGAATACTGTGATGGTAGTTTGGCACATTTATGTCTATGGTATAGATATGACTTCAAACTGGTTTCCTCAGCTTTTTAAATTGTTTAGTGGCACAAGAATCTCTTTCCTGCAGCATCGTTATTATGTAACATGGGTTTCCTAACAGAAAGTGAATAGTGCAGATTCATTGGAGAATGAGACAGAATGGAGCATGAAGGACTGGTCTTCTTGTACAGATTGTTTGATCCCTTCTGCTGTGGTCATCTGATCTGTCCTCTAGCGGGATGTTACCTAACTGGTATGACTGTCCTTCCCCCCCCTGTAATGGAGTAGAACGTTAATGTGACAGCATATATAATGTCTTTACATAGCAGCTCCCCTATCTATGACTTAATATACGTGTTGAAGAGACGTATTACCATAGTGTACGTGGTTTTATTGTACAGGAATTTAGTTTTATGGGATTATTCTTAGCTCTCTGTGCATGTGTGCGTGCGTGCGTGCGTGCGTGCGTGCGTGCGTGCGTGCGTGCGTTGTGCGTGCGTGCGTGCGTGCGTGCGTGCGTGCGTGGTGCGTGTGCGTGCGTGCGTGCGTGTTGTGTGTGTGTGTGTGTGTGTGTGTGTGTGTGTGTGTGTGTGTGTGTGTGTGTGTGTGTGTGTGTGTGTATGTGTGTGTGTGTGTGTGTGTGCATGTGTGCGTGTGTGTGCGTGCGTGCGTGCGTTCTTGGATACATGTATGAATGCATGCTTGTGTGTGTGTGTGTGTGTGTGTGTGTTGTGTGTGTGTGTGTGTTGTGTGTGTTGTGTGTGTGTGTGTGTGTGTGTGTTGTGTGTGTGTGTGTGTCTGTCTGTCTGTCTGTTTGTTTGTGTACTTGCATGTGTTTGTGTATGTGTGAGCATATGTGTGTGTGTGTGCATGTTTTTGCATGTGTGTGGTTGCATATGTGAGAGTCTGTGCACATATATACGAGTGCGTGAGTGTGTGTGTTTCTGCATGTGAGTCCATGTGGGTGCATGCGTGAGTGAGGGGTTTTGTATGTATGTTTGTAAATAAGTGAGTAGGAGAGTAAATGAACAAGTAAATGAGTATAAATGAATATGAGAGCAACTGAGTGAGTAAGTGCTGGACTGGCAAAAGGCAAGAGAAAGAGGAAGCATATCTGTGAATGAGAATGTAGGTTTAAGATTTAAAAGCACATATACAGAGAGAAAATATGTACATGAAATATAGTCTAGTCTTGATAATAGATAAATCTAGTATTGTTAAGAGTCTATATTACTGAAATATCAAGTGAGTTTTGTTATACTTTCTTAAAGCTAAAAAAATCCTTCTAAATAAAATTCTATTATGAAATTGTGAAGTCAGAACTTAGAATTCAGGAGAATAGATATACATGATGATCATTTGTAAGTGATGTACATATCTTAGAATGCATTCACTGAATCACTTAAAAATTTCCCTTAAAATTCTAATTATGTGTTTCTTAATGAATCATTCCATGCTTAATGGGGATATGCATGTGTTATGGCAAGGATCAAAATGCCTATCAATGTAGCACTCAGTGATGGAAGCTGCACCACCATGTTTTTTTTTTTTATTTACTTTTTTTTCCTGTCTGCTTGCTCACTAACCACCTACGCTCTCTTGACATTCTAGGGTCACAAGAGTATCCAGGCTGGGCGATGGTGTAGGCTTCCCTCTCGCTCCTTGCCCCAGCCCCCTCTCTCGGGTACAAAGGTATACATGCACCTAGATGTAGTTGTACACATTTACTTGATTGCGATGAAAACTTGGTTCATTTATTATTGTCATTCTTTTTTTTTTTTCTTCTTCTTCTTCTTTTGTCTTATCTTATTCCTATCCTTTAGCTTCTGGATCTTCTACTTCTTGTCATATCTTGTGATTCTTCATTTTTTGTATTTATGTTTTCTCCTCTTCTCTTGTATTATAGTTACTGTAACTGGTCTTTCCTTTTATTTTATTTATTTTTTTATCTCTTCTTGTATCTCATTTTCATTCTCTTCTACTTCTCATCTTCCTTTTTCTTTATACTCATTTTATGCACATTGTATGGGTAAAGACTCCTTTCTCAATGACATTTGTACAGTTAGCATTTTGTTTTCATGTTTTTTTTATTATGATTTACTAATTACTTTATTTTAGTAGTGAGATCCTTGAAATTTTAAAAGCAATTGCCCATTTCAGATAATTTGAGATTACTTGTCGGGACTCATAGATAACAGTGTTGCTGCGCTGTTAGAGTGGCGGGCATATTCTTTTGCCTCTTACTGAGCATAGTGGTTTTACTAATAAGATGCTGTTATGTAGAGTAACCTTAGTGTTTGCTGCGTCTCACAAAAGATATGAAAATATTTGTGTATTGTAAAAAGTTATTGCAGGTAAATATTCTCCATTATTGACTACTCAGTACATTGGGCCTGAGATATGATTAAATATTACAATATTTAGTTTTACATATGGTAAATTGTAATTTAGGGTTGTGTTTTATATTTATAAAATAGGGTAAAATACAATGACTTTTCCATTCCAGTTTTATTTTGATTTTTTTTTTATTTACATAATAACATCCACATGGCTGTTTTTAAGTCACTAGTTTAACAAATTATGTTTATTTTTAACCTTTTTTCACAATTTATATTAATGTGTTCAACCTTTTTGTTTGTGGCATGTATTAAATCAGTAACCTCGGTGTTGTCTTATGTTATTTATGTCTAATTTTGGTTATTATTGTCTTATTTTCATTGTCCTCTCTGTTTTAGAATTTGTAATATTAGTTTAAAGTGGCCATGTGGTTGGAAATTAAAATTAGTTGGATATGTTTATTTTAGGATATGCCCTACCAATAGTTTAAATATTGTATGCAGCTAATGAAAAGATCCAAGTAATATATTTTTTGAGATTGAAGACACAAAAAAATAAAGATGTATGAGATGTTTAAGGATTTCAAATAATGTTTATACATTTTTAAAAATCTCTTGATGGATTTTTTCATTATTTTATTTTTTTACTAATTGATCTTGTGATTTCTTACACCACATGAAATCTATGAAGTTTTGATTATCAAAATTTTTGAACCATATAAAGAATATATTCCAGTGAGACTTCACTGAAATAAGTTGATTGAATAATACCATAAAAATGCAAAATTTTGCTTCCTATTTTTCATTTTATTTTTTGATTTGAAGCTTCAGAGTTTTCATATCAGATTTCTTGCCATGTATTTTTTCTTCAACTCTAATCATTACTGACTTGAAGTATTGTATCAGATAAATGCATGGACATGCATGTCAGTGCATTCCAGTTTGTGATAAGAAGGAAAGTCAAATGGCTGACTGCACCTGTTTTATGTGCACCTAAACCACCGTATCTTCCTTCTGCTTGTGTGTTTAGGAAGGGATGCGCCTTTCATGTGTCTTGATTTTTACTTGTTTGGCATTGAAAAATTCCAAAGATAAGTTTCATGGCTTTAAATTGTTTTCAGGCTTTTCCAAAAATATTAGTAATTTTCCAACCAGATACCACCTTAGATGTATTTATATATATATTATATTCCCACAAAGTTTTGATAAGCCTTACAATTTACCACATTCTTTTGTATATATTGTATTTTTGTATTGTTTTGTATGTTCATATTTGCTGTTTAACTGCGTGCACATACATTTAAAATTGCTGTGTGAATGTAATTAACTATGTTTGTATAACTTTTTGTTAATTTATGCATGTTATTTTGTGTGTTACATTTGTTATTTATAGGTCAGGCATATGTACTAGGTTTCATTGTTGAATTCTGGTTAGGCTTGCATATGCTATAGCATTGTCAAGAAATATTGGAATTAGCAAAAAGTCCACACACATTCACACCTTACCTCATATGTGGCATATTATATACAAAAAGCACCATGGTTACATCATGGAAAATGGTTAGAATATGATAAATGATTTCAGGATACACAGGTTATATAGGTTATTTTATATAATGAAATATTTGCATGCATGGTTTGATGCTTGATTATGGTTATTACATTACCTGTTGCACCCAAAGGACCTATTATAACCACTGAGTTGGCCAAAGCAAAGGCTCATTAAACATGAGTAGCCTTGAGTTAGGTTGTGCAGTGCTAGTTAGGTGATTTTGATTATTGTCTGCCATGCATCCTTATTTCCAGGGGCTTTATTTACAAAAGTACGATGAAATGAATGCGTTCAGTTAACTTTGTAAAGCTATACCTCTGCATGAAGACATTGTAGTCCAGTGATGAACATAGCTGAAGTCACACATAGTTTTAACACATTTGATACCTGTTGATGGGCCAAAAACTTGACATTTGAATAAGCCATAACACCTGGGTGCGATGGGTTAATGTGTAATTGGACCAGAACTTGTCTTTGACTTTATTGGGACTAATGTTGATAGGTATGAATAGCAAGGAATTCACTAGTCTTCTGATAGATTTAGTATTTTTATAAACAAAAACCGCTTTAGTGTGTATTCCACAATTTTAATTCATTATATAAAGAACATATTGATGTGTGCAAATACTTAACAGATGTTACACAGCTGCTTCTCTGAACCTAAGTTTTGTTCTATTCACAGTCTTATTAGAAGGGAATCTTATGCATTAGTAATGTTGGCCATTGTTTATATATTAAGATAAAACTCTTTATTCATGTGGAAACTCGCTTAGGACGATGTTATCTCTTTCTTGTCGGATGCAGTGTTGCTACTATCTATTAGCTTTTATTTATCAAAAGTTCTCTTCATTTCATCTTTCATAGTATACAGAGTGATGTGTTGCAATTATCTTGATCCAAGTATGGTAGTATTTGGAATAGTATAGGGAATAATTTTTAAGGATCTATGTGTATGTTGTGATTAGTCGATTGGTAAGAATCATATATTTTTGATGAGGATTTTTAGTTATTTTTTATTATCTCCTCTTCCTGCTTCTTTATTATTTTAATATAACTCCTAACATCAATAGATCTGAGTAGAAATCAAACAAATTAGCCCACTAAACTCTACTTTCATATAACAGCTACTTGAAACTCTCTTCTCTTTATTAAAATTTGAGGTATATAAATATATATAACAGTGCTGTTTAAATAAAATTCATCTGTGGTGGTGGCTTCTCATAAATTTGTTGTTGCATATATAAGACTTCTGCATGAAATCTAAATGAATTAGATTCATTACATGATATATGGCATAATAAAAGGAAAAGTTAGGAAAGGAAATAGTGTTGCAAATATGTATTTATCATTCACTCCTACTTATAGAGCTTGAGTCTGAAGGTTAGATCAAGTGCATCTGATTTTGTGAAATGCAAAGGAAAACATTTCTGTAATATTTGAGTGGCCCGCTATACAGGCAGCAGTGACAAATACATCAGTTATTATAGATGCTATACATAATCATTATTGCCTGTATATTTGGCCATTCAATTTATACTGACAGTGGTTTCCGATGTGTTAAATGAAACTGGACACACTGTTGACTGCTAAGCTGCCAAGGGTACAATAATTCAGCTCAAGTGTATGGCTGTAGTAATGACGCGAAACTCAGTTGATAAGAGTCGCATACTTTTATTTTGAGCACTAATTATATTTATGTGAGTTACAAACTCTATAGATGCTAAACGATATTAGTTTTTAGAATTCAGAATCTGATTTTTGTGTGGGCCTATATAGGTATTTGTTTTTATGATTTTGTTATTTAGATTAGAGAGAAGATAGTGGAAATATATGTTTTGCATTAGTGCCACTTGGTAGCTTTGACAGATTCCATTTGTAGAAGATTAGTATCATTATCATTTACAAAGTTTGTATCTCTTATATTTACAAAATTGATTATTTTCAGTATTTCCCTTTTCAAAGTAAAACAAATTTTTATACCATTTTGTATCCTAATAGTTCAGTTTTAGTTGTCGTTTCACAGCGCCACTTCATGTATTAGCTAAACTAGTTAGACCAGTGTAAAGAACTGATATACCAGCAATGCTTACATGCCTTTTGTGTTTCCTTTTTTTCGTTCATGATAGCTTTTTTGATGCATAAGTGTTGTGATGTCCTTTGTTTCATGGTATTTTGTTGTATGTCTTATTCATTACTTTTATGTGCCTGTGATGATAAAAGAGTTTATGATTTTATGTGGAAGTAAATTATTGATTTTATTTCAGCACTGTACTATTAAAGTAAAAACAGTCTGATACATAACTGGTCCCTTACATTTTGCAAAAAAAAAATTGTGGAATTTTGACGGGACAGTGTATTTTGTTTGTTTTCTTGGATGTTTATTTTAAATATTTTGCATGAATGATCGCTCGTGTGGTTTCATTGGCTACACTTATTCACTTTTTACTACAGAAGTTTAGTTTCTGTGATTTTGCATGCATATGAGTTAATGCTCTTGTTAAATATTTTGAATTAAAGGAGATTGTGGGTAGAGAAGTAGAGGTAATGCATGATGTCAATTTATACCACACTCACCACAGTAACTTCAATTTCTTTTACCGATTTTTGATAAAAATTAATATACTAATCTGTAAGTAACTGGATTTTTTAAAAGGAATTTCATGGTGAAAATTAACTTGTAAAAGGCACAAGAAAAATATTAACTTGTTGATTCTTCTAACATTTCAGTGAGAGACCTTCCTTAGCACAGTTTCTGTGGCAACACTTCCATGAGAACCTGGGCCTCATCTTCCAGCCTTAGAAGATAAAAATGTGCAGCTTACGTCTTCCAGACTCTCTGTGCTGTGAAAAGCTGTGGGAGCATGAGATTATCTGGCCTTGTGCATGTAACTGCCGTGGCCTAGAATGTGTGTACTGTAACGAAAAATCATGGATTTTATATGCACCATCTCTTGAGGAAATTGCTCAATTCCCAGTGATAAGCGATACTTTTTACTCTTTAAAATGCTACATAATCATACATTCAAAATACATTTATTTTGTACTGAACAACCATGATATCTGAAGTCTATTATGGCTGTGTGAAGGAATGATACTTGGAATAGATGATTTTGAATACTTGTTTCCCCCCATCAAGGTGATGAAGTTCAGAATACTGTTTAATGAAGCCAGATATGTTGAAAGTCCCTAAAATCCAGTCTTAAGAAAATGAGAATATTCAGTGACTCATTGATGCTCATGCTTGAAAGAAAGATATCTTGATATGACACACATGGCACTGCATGCATCAGCACTTCTTACTCTTGCACAAACAGAAGACTTGTGACCGAAGACTCAAGACACTTAATTGCACATTATTTCAGAAAGAGACAAGGAAAATAGATAATCTAAACTCATTTAAACTTCAGCATGAGCAGCAGTCACTTTCATTTCTGTGGAATTATGTACAATAATCAAGAAGGTTAGAATATGTGATTAAAACCAGTGACTTCCACTGACTGCGGTGATTGCTTTAATTCTGTGCAGCTCTTTGGAATTTATTCAAGATAAAAAAATATATTTGTTTATCAATAGATTCCAAGTTATGTCATGGTTTGGTTGTGATATTTGATGAATGATTTCCATTGCACATGTATTGACTTGCTCTATTGGCAGTAACTGTACTATAATTTCTGTATATCATAGAGGATGAAAGACAGTGGTCTTATATACTATACTGGGAAGTCAATAGAAGTTATGTAATCAATCCATTATGCTGACTATCATTCCATGGGCCAGAGTAGATTTGCTCTTCTTTTCTTTAAATATTGATGTTAACCTTTTTTTAGTTTTTTTTTCTTTTTTTTTCTTACCTAAGCACCTCTTTGATGATGAAGTACACTATTTTTTGCGACTGTATTTTAAAAATCATACTGCCCTTTGTGTATATTGAAAGACAATGCATGGAAAGCTCTGGCCCTTTTATTTGTTTAGACTATAACAATTTGATTGTGAATTTCAAGACTTCGGGGAAATATCTGCATTATATTGCTGGCAAACCAAAGAGATTTAACAGTGGCCTATTAAAACACTATAATACAAATAGTATTTGAAAAAAAGGAAATAAGTATAGGCTTATTAAACATAATAAAAGATAGACGTAAAGCTATTCAGTCATGTGGAAACAATTATGCCTTTGTTGTGTCACATCTTTATAACGATCCTTTTCATTACTGTACTTTGTGGTCTGGAATAGAATATGTACCGTTACCTAGTGAAATGTTTACCTTTGAAAAGAAAATGCACACACAAAAAAAAACAAACTTATTTTGACCTGCCCTCCATCATGAATCTACAAAAGGCAACAGTACTAGTCTAGCACTGCATGACAATGTACAAGAGGCTGGAATCATTACTTCTTATGCCTCACTGGGACATAGAGTTGCCGTTATTTCTGCATTGAATACCACAAACACGACTGTATAATGCCAACAAATGATGTACACTATAACTATTGTCAGTGATTATTAAAGTATAATTTTATAAGTGTTTTCTTTTGTGTCCTTTCAGTTATAGAAGCAAATTGAGAGCTCAAATTGGTTTCCTATGATGTCAAATTAATAATAATTATTATTATCTTATTTTTTGTGGCTACAAGAAAGTGGACTCTCACATGGATGCATGTTGAAATTTCTAAAATAAACTTAGCCTATACTTATGATAATGGTTAATGGTTGAAACAAATAAATGTGCTAGACATCTATGATCATATAACATTTTCTTGGGTAATGTCTAGGAATTTTTGGATGTTTTAAAGAGTTTCTGGAGGGATTTGGGTGGGGAGGACTGTGAAACAAAGGATCTCCTGTGAGGAAGAGAAGAGGGGATAGATGTTCAGGGAGCAGAGGAAAAGGAGAGTGCAATAGAGGATATGGAAGGCAAGGATGTAGTAGAATGTTTAGGAGGCAATTTGAACGGTCATGAAAAGGTTGGGCAAGGGGCAAGCTTTAATGCCCCTATTAAGGGTAAAGAATTTTCATTATTGGCCATTGTGAGCCTGAATAAAATGGGGGAAAAGAAATGGTCTACCCATCAGGGTCCCCATAAGAGATAAGAAATACTGTACCCATGGCTCCCAAGAGGCCATTCATGACTGACACAAAGCACAGCTCTCATACCTTAGGAATGGGACGGAAGGGATGGAGGTTTGGAGGAGGAAAGGGGACCATGCAAAATTAGCTGAGGGGAGGGCTGAGGTCCAAGGTAGGGGCGATGGTGATCCCATACATTGGGCCTCAGTCTCCATCTGCTTCTTGTCCCCCCCCCCCCATGACAACAAGCAAGGATTGGGGGTCTATACTTGTAAAACACTGACAAATATAGCATCCTCTTAAAATGTGAATATTGCAGGTTTAAAGGATTAACTGTTGTTATAAAGTATTCCCACTTTTACAATTATGATTTTACACAACCGAACATGGTACTGACGGTAAAACACAGCTCCAGTAGAACGGTTAATGGTTAATGATTGGAACAAATAAATGTGCTAGACATCAACGGTCATACAGCACTATGGTAAAGTTTTGTGGCAAAAGAGTAAAGAAGAGTTAAAGATTAGGCTAACCTGTATGAATTGTCAAAGATCAGAGAGCATCATAGGAGAGTATGGTAGTGAAAAAGGAGAAGAGGGAAGCAAATTAAGTAGAGCAGAGATTAGTAAAAAGGGGAAGGGTTGAGGGGGAAGGGCAATTAAGCAAATTGCAGTATATCTGTGACTGGGAAAGGAATAGGGGCATTGTTCACCGAAAACAGAGATGGCTTTTGGATAACTAGGAGGAGAATAATATGGAAGACTGTAAATGTCAAAGATTAGAGAATGTTATAGGATAGTATGGTAGTGAAAAAGGAAAAGAAAGGAGCAAATGAAGTAGAGCAGAGATTAGTAAAAAGGGTAGTAAGGGGGTAAGACGATTGAGTGAATTGCAGTGTATTTGTGACTGGGGAAGGAATAGGGACATTGTTCAAAGAAAACAGAGAGCTGTTGGAGAAGGATAAGAGTCCTGGGGATGTGAAAAGGGACTGGGGAAGGTGGTGAAGTATCAAGAAGAGTGTCAGGAGGGGAGGGGTCTAGAGAAGGATACTGTTGTGACAGAGAGGATTTGTGTGAGCATTCAGGTGGAGTGGTAGAGAGGGTGGGGTGTGTTGGCAGAATGCAGGAGGGAGTGTGGGGGAACTTGAGGAGGAGGATGGGTATCAGCAAATACTTTAAATGTAGGGGGAGTAAGAACAGAGGGATTGGAGGGTGGATGAGGGAGTTGAATGTTCCCCTGGAGCATCTTTAGGAAGTTTTGGATGTCTTGAATTTTTTGTTGGGGGGGGTGTTGGGTGCAGAGGAATGAGAAACAAAGGTTCTCTAATGAGCAGAAGAGGGGATAGATATCTGAGAAGCAGAGAAAGAGAAAGGTGCAGTGGAGCTTTTAGGTTTCCTGGTAACCTGTAAAGTGATATGAAGGGGTAGATATTAGGGAAGTGGTAGAGACTGGTGTATCTGGATTTAGATGGGAAAAGGATTTGACTGGGGGAGAATAGTAGAGGTAGGATAGTTCGAGGTAGAGAAAAGAGATACTGTGGGAGATGCTAAGACATCTTGGGAAGATGAGAGAGGAGTAGAGTGAAGGACATTTTTGGAATAAGTAGAGAGAAAAAAATCTTGTTGCCTTACTTCTTGTCTGGCCTCATGTAGAGGGAGGCCTATCTTGAATCTGAGAACTACTACCTTATATTTTGAGCTTATAGGCAGCTCAGCACCTATAAAATACATTGTGGGAGCCACCACAATTGGCACATGTACTTGACTGAGCAGGGCAACTTGAACGGTCATGATATAGAGGGCAGCAGGATGTGGAGTGACACTGCTTGGCTGGGTGGCAAAAATACCAACATTTCTGACATTGACGAGGAAGGTCGATATGGTTGGACATGATAGAACACTCCACCAATATAAACTTCACGAGGGAGGTCATGTCTATGGGAGCTAATCTTGGCAATATTGTTATGAGACCTACACTGACCTCTGGGAAAAATACTGTAGCACTGTACTGCCGCTGCATCATAATCAACAAGGCAGGCAAGTAGGTCTCACAGTCTAACCAATTCTTGTCATAGATAGGACAAGCAGTTGGGGAGACAGAAACAGTTCCATTACAGGTATTAAGAAAGAGGTGAAGTTTGGCAAGAATGGGTTTGCCTGGGAGGTAAGCTAGGGTAGACAGTGCATGAGCTTGGGATTCAGATGTAACTGTGACAAGGCGTGAACGATTGGAACAGCTGTGAAAGGAAACTTTGCCTACTTGAAAGAGATGGGTATTCTTAGAGTAAGGGGTTGTGGGGGAATCACGAAGTATTGATCCCATTGGCTAGGCCAAAGAGAGTACTACTGCAGAGGCGGAGGCAGTAGAAGACAAGGGCAGGAGGAATTTGGGGTGGTGTGAAGTGGAATAATTCTGTGGGGGAAGGACAATGAAGATGAAGAATAGTAATAAGGGAAGAGGGGAGACTTAAGAAGACTGTGAAGTAGGAGATGGAGTAGAGAATGCTGGGAGAGGAAGGGTGAATTCTGAAGGTTGAGTAATGACTTGGGATGGTGGTTCAGAATGAATAGAGTTGTCAGTAAAATGTCGAGGAGGGGATAGTATCAGTGGTTGAAGCCATGGTCAAAGGAGGGGCAGAGGTTGGAAAACCAATAAAAACAAATTCAGATAGGTTAGTTGAGGTAGGGGCAATCTTTAATGCCCAAATACAGATATACAATCTTCATTATTGGCCCTGGTAAGAGTAAAATGATAGAAGGGGATAAAGAAGTTACAGAAGAGGAAAGGGGATAAGAAAAGACCATACAAAATTAGTTGAGGTGAGGGCTGAGGCCCAAGGGCAATTTCCCTACCTTGAGCCTCAATCTTCCTTTCCTTGGTATTGGGAGGGTGTATTATGTTAAAGGTCCTTGTGATTAGCTTATATTCAAATAATTCACATTATGATGAATTTTACATTACTTGTAGTTTGGACTTCTATGACCTATTGGCATTTTCACTCTTCTAAAAGTGAAAATGTCTTAGGTGCCAACAAGCAGCTACATCTCATATATCATGCTTCACATACATGTAAAATCAGTAACATGAACTTCCTCTTCCAGCGCTTTCTTCAGTCACTGTTGTGCTTTTCTGAATTCCCCCAGTAATGATACTGTATAAAGATAATATGCATTTCACAGCAAATGGAATAGTAAAACTAACAAGTTTCATTCCTATTATTTATATCTTTATTCTTAGCAGTATCAGTTTTCCAAATTGGTCATTTGTTCACATTCATCCATTGACAACTTTCAGTCCACTTAAAACAAAATAATGGAAAAGTAATCAATATACATGTACCATTCCATATAAAAAGGTCCAACACAGAATGTATGTGAACAAGCCAGAGAAAAGGCCACTGGTGAGAAGAGACTGTCGACTGACGAAAATACTGTTGCCATTTTGACCCTGCTTTCAAGAGCAGCATTAGCCACAGTATGAGGCCGGCCAGGAAGAAAAACAGGAAGCCGTACAAGCCAGTCAAGGCCCAGCATACCTGTTGAAATGAAAGGTCTGTGGTAATAAAATGCTTTCTTTTCTATTTTTGACATTTTCAGGTGCAATCACCTGAAACCCTTTCTCCACATATGTGCAAATAAACCAAATAAAACACAGTAGAAAAAATTCTTGCACTGCTTAGTTTTCCACATGTTTTCCTTCAATAACCTCTGCTTACCTGCTGTAGCTCCAGACAACGCAGCCATTGATGTTCTACAGTACTCAATCACAGCCAAATTATTACGGACAGCAGCATCACTATATGCTACGATCTCCCCAGTCCCACGATCCACTCTAGTGCGCACTCTTCCCGACATCCTGAAGAGTCTGAAAAAAAAGAAAAGAAAGTAATAAGTCAGTCATGCAGATACCTGTGATGTAAAACAAGAAAAGAATCTTGGGCTGAAGAATAAGAATGGCTGTAAAAGGATACTTGTTTTTAGATATACTGGTGGAAGAGAGTGTACTGTCTGAATATGGGCTGTAGGGCGGAATCATGAAAAATTGATCTCACTTGGGCTGAAAAGAGTACTCAAAAGATTAGTGGAGATTGAAAGTAGTTGAAGGATGAGGATGAGAGGAAAAGTTAGTGGGTTTGAGTAAGGTAGTACTGCGGGGAGGCAGACTAAGGAAGAAGAGGAGTAGCAAGAGGAGGGGGTAGAAAATGAAGGAGACTGTGCAAGAGGAGGAGATAGGGTGGAGGATATTGGGAAAGAGTGAGGGATATATTCTGAAGGTTGAATAATGGCCTGGGTGGATGATTTGGAATGGATCAAGTTGACATCAAGCATTGAGGCGGGGATAGCAGTAGCACTGGGTAGAGCTGTGATTAAAAGAGAGTCAGGGGTCGGGAAACCAGATAACTCAAGTTCAGCTAAGCAAACAGATGAAGGGACAAGCCTCAATGCTCCTAAT